GAAAGGCCGAAACTCACCCACCATAAAAATTCTGGGCATATCTAAGTGCATCATGAAATTTAAGGACTAATAAATGGAATGCAAAAAGGCATAAATGATCGCAAATACTGTTTCTGTCGTTAAAATGACAAATACAGAAATCTTCTGGCTGTAATGAGCCTGATCAGCGGGCTGTATGACGGACTAAGATCAAATAGCTCTCCTATGGATGCACACCATCATATCTGCGCAGTGCTTTACCAGCTCTGTGCGGACGCTCTATCAAGCCAGCAAGCAGGAAATATGACAGCTCCTCACACTGTTGACAGAAACAGCAGCCAGGCGCGGCTGTACAAGTGGCTGCCAATCTGATAAGGCGAAGGGGTGACCTCCTGTTCAGAAATTAATGGCACCGATAAATCAAACACACTGAAAAACGACAGGCTCGTTTAGCTTCTCGTGGGCCCGGCGGAGCCTAAGAGACAAATAACACTGTCCAGTCTCATCCCCAACTTTAACAGGGCAGGATATTCATCTCTCCCAGCCTCAGTCTCACCACAGCGGAGAACCAAACCCCCCACCACTACCACCACCACCACCACCCCACCCCCTGAGAGGATGAATGGCTCGCTCCTGTGCAAACTTCAGGATGACCTCCTCCGGCTGTGTTTTTGCTGCCCCTCCTGTCAGCGCTGAGGCTGAAAGATTGCAGGCACAGTGAGGCGGCAGGGGAGCCCTCAGCGCAAGCCGAAGCAGCACCGGTGAAAAACAACCAGCTCGGAACATTATAGAGGACAGTGGGCTTTGGGTGGGGGCTAAAAGACAGCCAACAAACTGTCAGCTAAACAAGTGAATATGAACTTCTGTATCACCTTGAATATAATGGTTCAAAGCGCCTTCAGTGGCTTGGGATTCCCAGCATTCTTTAAAAGCATCTTAGTCTCAGTGTATTTGCTATATTAAAGTTTAGTATGTGGTACGTTTGAACATTTTTGCACATATTTGCTCGCTTTTTACCCTCTTTGATGAACATTTAATCATTTAACCTGTTGTTAATTTGAAATCGTTGCATATGTAAGTCACCTTAAATACAATTTTTAAATGCTATGCCATTCAGAATATGCTTATTCTTAATTATGAATGTGTAAGGCTATTTTATGTCAGCAAAAACTTCAACAGCTCAGGTTGACCGAGCAAAAGTCAGTGGACTGATTCCCAACTACTACAATCCATGTGCTTCATTGGGCAAGATACTGAACCTCAAGTTGCCCTAGATCAGGGGTAGGCAACTCCAGGCCTTGAGTGCCGGTGTCCTGCAGGTTTTAGATGTGTCCTTGATCCAACACATTGGATGATTCCTGATTCAAACGGCTAAATTACCTCCTCAACATGTCTTGAAGTTCTCCAGAGGCCTGGGAATGAACTAATGATTTGATTCAGGTATGTTGACACAGGGTGATATCTAAAGCATGCAGGACACCGCCACTTGAGGCCAGGAGTTGCCTACCCCTGCCTTAGATGCATCCATCTGAGTGTGTGTGTGTGTGTGTGTGTGTGTGTGTGTGTGTGTGTGTGTGTGTGTGTGTGTGTGCGTGTGTGAATGTTCGATAAAAGCTTGGGTAAATGAGACTTTGAATGCTCAAACTGAGTAGGATATAAGTGCCACTCTGTTTACTGTTGGATAAATATGCGCTCATAAGTTTAGAAGTACTTTATTTATCCCATATTTGGAAATTCTGGCATCATCATGTCAAAGTCTTTCTGACGTCCCCTTTTAGAGGCGTCATCTGCGCTTGTGAAGTCAAGAAAAATGGTTCGATAACAAAATAAAAAAACAATTTTTTCCATGTTTTTGTGTCTTTAATCTCAGAATATTTTCAGATTCTCTTCTCACAAATTGATTTTGTAATATTTGATCATATTTTAACTTCATAATATTATACAATATTACATTTTTGGACCACATTAATATTAGGGCAGCTCCAGGACTTTTTTTCCTTGTGAATTTGCAAAGTTAATCTCAGAAAATGTAAGTTTTTGTTTAAATATTACACAACTTTTTTTAACTTGTGTTTCTGAATCAATTTGCTTTTATGCACTCGTTATCCACTCCTGTGTTTATGTGACTTGTGGCACTTGTAGATGAACTCATGGAAATTAGATCTTGGCGTTGGTTACATTTAGTAAAATCAACTTCAGCAGCTCAGACTTGAACTAGCAAACTTATTTTCCAGTCATGCACACTGACATCTGTCCCGCAGCTTGTCTGAGGTATTAGAAAGCATTATTTTCAGTGTCAATTAAACTGCGAGTTATGTTCAAAATCAACTTATTGACCATTTTGTTGATAAGAAATCTATCACGGAGCAAAACTAAATTTGCCTATGATCACATTTCCTCCAAACTTATTAGCAAATATTAGCACTGAATATCACAATATCAACACTCTAATATTGTCACAATCAATAACCCAAACACACCAGCCAATCCCCAATGGGCTCCATTAATCACAGACCAGCTGCAGAGGAGGGCTACAGTGGTAACCCAACAACTCTTAACCCCCAAAACCAGCGCCACCACCACCCACGTCACCACCTTCAATGGACTCCTTGTCCAGCACATAGGGCTCCACTGTGAAGCACGTCTGCGTGTCACAAAGAAATATTGATGTTAAACACTTCAAACATTCAGTTCGTTCCGCTTTAAACACTGGCTGTGTTGATTTTCGAAAACCCTGCAGTCACTGAGGTTTACCTTTCTACTGGAGCTATAAAAAAAGACACACACACACAAGAAGGAACAGGGGCTAGGTCCAGTTTAGAGGTTAGAGAAGAAGCCCACAGACACTTACGGTGAGTCACTGAGCAACATTCTGGGAAATTTGCTAAAATCAGATCTCAAACATGTAGATTAGCATAAGTCATGTTTGGGTCCAACCTATATTAGCATGCAGCTGGTCTTGTTCTGTCAAAACTAGAGTCTGGCAGCTTTTAAAATATCATGTTTACTCTTCATATCTTGTTTATTTACTTGTGCAGAAATAGAAATGCAAAAATGAGAGATGGTTTTAGCAGCTGCAAACTTTTTTTTTGCTATTTATCGGGTAAACTTCGGGAGGGTAAGCATCTCGCACAGCGGCACGAAATCTCTTACCAAAATTCACATGCCATCCGAAGGTCGCTGCTTTTCATTTCCAGAAAGCTTTCTGCTCTTCCTCATAATTACCACCATTGTCCTACAATGCAAGGCACAAAATGCAGAGATTTGTACCTATTTAAATAAATAAAGGTTAGGCACACAGACACAGTCTCAGTCTGTCCATCAGGGCCTCGGGAATAAACTTGCTCATTTGCTCTTTTTCCACTCCAGCCCAACCTCATGACACTGTGGAGGTGTGTGGGTAACACATTCAGGAATCCACTTTAATGACTGAATGCCACTTCCATTTCAGGGGTTATACATTAGCAGCAGAAGGGCTGTTGCATATAGTCAGGGCTCTGAGAAGCCCTGTCTCTATTTAGTGCTGAGGCAGAAAGAAAAATTAATTGCAACTAAAACTGTTATTTATTTGAGTATTATATAGGAATAAACACATTTAATACTTCCTGCACAGTCTAACTGTAAAGCTTGTCATAGATTTGACATGTTTGACTCCGCTGCCTGCTGTCAGTCACACATTTAACCGAGGAATAATCATAATAATGATTGCAGCACGTTCATGTTTACCAGTTAAAGTATGGTAAACTTAGAGTCTGAACAGTCTGTCTGAAGGAAATATCTGTTAAGTTCTCGGCCTTTTTTCCTTCTTCTATCACATGGCTCTCTTCAATTCAGTTCAATTCAGTTTTATTCATAGCTCCAAATCACAACAACAGTTGCCTCAACGTGCTTTGTATTGTAAGGTAAAGACCCTACAATAATACAGAGAAAACCCCAACAATCAGACAACCCCCTAGGAGCAAACGCTTGGTGACAGTGGGAAGCAAAAACTCCCTTTTAACAGGAAGAAACCATTGGCAGAATCAGGCACATGAACAAGTTTTTCAGCATCACTCTGAAACAGAAGTTTTAGAGATATTGTGCAATTTTTTTTTTAAAAAGCAGTCCTATAACCTGACCTTATAACAATAACAATACAATAACCACCTTGTGTTTCTGCCCCATCTTCAATGACAGCAACAACAACAACAACAGCAATAGTGCAGGGAAGAAGGAAGTCATGGTGTGCTCTCCGCCCAAGACGGTGCTACAAAAGTTGTTTTAATGTATTTTTGCAGTGGTTTGCAGTTGTCTGCAGTTTGTTTGGCGGGTACTTTTGCACAAATCAACTACTTTCAGAAGGCTGGATACACTCTGAAGCAAAACCCATTTGTCAGTGTCCTAAAAGGAAAATATTCACTCACTATATCATCTACAGGCACCAGGTTCACAGTCCGAGGTGTATACTGACTGAACACCTGGAGGAAAATTACGGGCTGATGTGAAGCCAATCCATCATGTTATCCACTTGCAGTACAGTCACTGTAGCTTTACCGTTGCACATCAGTCCACCAGGAACGTAGTCTACTTCTAAAGTTTGGTTAACCGGTTACAAATAAATCCTGCACCGACGACACTGTCTAATTTTACTCGCGTCCTAATCTTTCTAAAGATATTAAAATGCATTCACAGCATGTGATGCAGTGTTAAGAAGTTCTGACTTACAGAACAAATAATTTCATCAAACTGTCAACTTCAAAGCTTTAGTACTTAATGCTTCCAACATGTGATTTAAATAAGAAAATATTAGAGCCGAATTTGAGGGGGAACTCCAACTAAAGGATACTTCACGGTTTTAAACTGAAATATGCTTTCCAGCTTTCCAGGCAATACAAATTTTACATTTGTAAATGGAGTTCGGCGCTAATTCGTTCAACGCATTAACCACAGACGGGCTGATGAATTCCACGAGCTTGTCTATGAAATAAAGTTTTAAAATGGAACAAAAAAAGAAAACAATGTTAATGGAAGCGCGAGCTTACCTCTCACCTTTGGGTCATCACAGGATTCACGGTGAGGGGAGTTATGCGGGCTCAGAGACAGATGCAGGACTCGCTGCAGACCCGCCGTCCACAGCTGTGCACTCTGCTGCAGCCCTGTGATGGCAGGGCGAGGCAGGCTCAGACCACTAGGGGCGCTGTGTGATAAACTGAGTGGTTTCAACGTTTAATACCGCAATAAGTGTGATTTGACAGGCGTCTTTATGCATGACGGAAAACAAAAAGAGAAAAAAAACAAGAAGTTATGTTGCTTTTTTGTTTTTTATAAAAGTCAGTCTCAGGCCCGTATTGAGTCATTATGACTTCCCAGAGCCGATAGCCAGTGTGAGTCTGTGACACTGTATTGCAGAACATTTTCTCCAGTAAGACAAACCTCGCTTTTTAAAGAAACTTTAAAAACTTTACAAAAAAAGTGGATCCACTTAGTCAGGAAGGTTGTGCTAAAATTAGTCTTGGCTATGGATTGTCCAAGGGTTGCCTTCTCTTTCTTGATAGAAGGCATGTGCCACTTATTACTGGCACATGGATGAGCTCATTGAGAAAAAGAAAAATACAATCAAGAAACCACTGAGCAAAGCTTGGCTGCCACCTAGCGGGAGAACATTACGCAATCCCACTGCAAAACATTAACCTAATCATGTACTCTATGTAAACAATGACTGTATCTAAAGCACTGCAGTTTGCATTTCAGATAAGTTATGAATATTTCCAAAAGCCTCAAACACGTTTTTCAATTAAAATAATCAATTACGACCTCTGTGTATTTTATTTTTATTTAATTTTATATATATGTGTATGTACATGCACACACGTAGATATACATATATACTATACATATTCAGTAATGTGCATACACTTTATATTTGTACATATATTTATTGTTATAATCCTCAGATTTACCCATTCTTATATTTTGTTTGTTCTTACGTTATTGTATTGTATTTTGCACGCCTCTGTTGCTTGTGAAGCTTGTACACAAGAATTTCACTCACATGTGCTGTACCAGTGTACCTGCACATGTGATGTGACAATAAAAGTGATTTGATTTGATTTGAAAACATAAACACATAAAAACTCAGTCAGAAATAGAACAAGTTCAACATATAATACAGTTAATGTAAGATTTAAAAAATGAGACAATTTACCTTGCAATCTGTATTCAGGTGTTTCTTCTGTATACACTATAAATATAAAAATGCAATTTTCAACCATATTTTGGCTTTAAATCTAGAATTATTTCTTTCTTACCTATTTCTACTTGCAAGATGTGAATGCTTTTGGACTTGTAATGGTAGATGTTCAACATAAAAAAGCATGTGAGCATATGACATAACTAAATGAATGAATGAATGTTGGGAAACATGACAGAACAAAAAACTAAACAACGACAAATCAGCTACAAATCTAATAGGGCAACAAGTGTATTGTTTTTCTGCCTCTTCTTCTTCTCATTCTTTATGATCTGCATATAATACTAATCATCATCATCATCATATTATAGCACTTTTTTCCTGAAATTACAACGTAATAAATAAAGCCTGAACCATAAAATAATTGCCAGAAAATTATTTATTTATTTATTTATGGTATTAAAAAAAAAACTGGACTGTTCCTTGAACCTTCTGACTAATAAAAAAAATGAATTAAATATTACTTTGCATTTATGAGTTATAATCTGCATCTGGCATTGTTGTGCAATTTATTTAGGCTTTCATGAAGAAGAAAAAAATCACAGGTCTCAAAAACTCCTGTATGAACTATGATGCATTTGGCTTCATATGGTTAATTCTAACAATATGCAGTGACTGAGAAAGCATTAAGTTTAATTTCTTTTGTAAAATTACCAAATCATGCCATTTCTAAAGTCTTCACTCAAAGCTCTACTTCAATCTTGTTATTTAGAAAATAAAGGGGAATTGATTCATCGTTCAGTCCTATCTAATCGCAGTTTTTAGTATATCCAACTGAGTAAACCTGTTTGCTTTTTTAGCTGTGATAACGTGTTGATGAACTGTTGCTCTGATTGTTTCTATTTTCTCAGCCATGACGCAATAAACTCCCGCGCTTTAGTAATTCACCGGTAGCTAATAGAAACAACGCATTCACGTTCCCTGTGTCGATTTCAACCAATAGACACAGAGAGTGCGTGCCAGCCAATGGCGAGCGCATGCCTAAGGTCTTCGATCCAATGACCCCTGAGTAAGGTCGATAAAGCTAGCCAATAAGACGCTAGCAGCATTGTGTGACCGAGGCAGGGTCTGCCGGGTTCATTTCGCCGCTCCTCCACCCGGCTGCTCTTTTTGGATCTCACTGCAATGGCGGAACAGCAGCAGTTCTACCTCTTGCTGGGTAACTTGATGAGCCCTGACAACAACGTCAGGAAACAGGCAGAGGTAAGACGAGGAAAAAAACAGTTTTTAGTGGCTGACAAGTTCGGCGAATGCTGGAAGTCGTGTGGCCAAGTTAGCAGAAGCTAACCACTTAGCTGTCCAGCCTGGCCGCGCGCAGCCTCTCACGTCAAGCTCGGTAGCCCACGTGCGCTGTGAAGCCGAGTACTAGTCAGCTAACGCTAACTACCACCATGTTGCGTAGTTATACGTGGACTTAATTTCGATGTCACAGATACCAGCGCTGTCATGACACCATGTAGCCGTACGTGTCTCGGCAAAGCTCGGGCTGTTCGGTAAAAAGTGAACGGACCCGTTTGTCGGAACCAGCCTCCAAACCTCCAGCTGACAGTGGCGCCTGTAGAGTACAGGAAGTAGCAGCAAGCTAATGAGCTACCCACAGTGCTGCTAGGTTTGTTAGCTAGCACGCTAGGGTTCAGCACATTGGCTTGCTAAAATATTAAAGCGGAATATTGAGACTGAACGTGGCACATATGCTGAGTTACTGCTGCGGTGATAAACAAACCATCAAAGGGATAGGCTGTAGATGGTGAGGTAGTTCATTCAAAGGGGCGATTACTTATGCAATGGCCTCCGGTCGTGTTAACTAAAAGTCAAGTCTTAACCAGACAGTTTTAAACTAGCAGCCGTGTTTCCCTTCGTGAAGTTGATCATCTCAGTTTCAGACACGTCAGTAGCTAGGCTCGTCTCCTCGGATTAGTTTCTCTCAGAGGATTTGTTTAGGCTGTGTCTAGCTCGTCTATTCACTCTCCCCCCCTCACAACCACCATTATTAGCCTCTTGTCGCCGCAGAGCATTGTTACCAGCGTCCCCCTCCCTCTCCGGCACCCCGACTTTTGGATGAGGTGGTTGAATCTTATCACACACCGCCTCTCTCTACCAGTCAGCGTTTTTCTTTGATAAACTCAGACTGTCTGCCGGGATGCTAAGCTCACTGGAATCCATCCTTTATAGGAACTCCTCCCGTTCTCTTTTACTCGCATAATAGGAATTGATCCACCTGTATGGGACCTAAACTCACATTTTAACAGTTGAAAGATACAGTTAGTCACATTTTATTTTATTTTTGTAGTTAATCCCATCACTAGTTCATCCAAGTGGTGGTATTGTGAGAAGCCATGAAGTGCATTTGAATTTGTGTGGCAACCAAACTCATTTAGGCTTTAGGTGGACAAATGGATTAGTGCAGTAGTTCAAGTCAGGTTATAAGAGGAGTGGACTTTGCAGATTGATTTGCAGGTAATTCAAGGGTTGCTCAACCTGAGCGCTTGGTCATTCTGATTCTAATTGTTTGGGATTTGATTTTAGCCCAGCCGTTGGCACATCTGTGCTCCTCCCTGTCTCATTTTGTCAGTTTGGGAATCATTGAATCTCCCATGCAGTTGTGTTAAGAGTTTGTATTCGATCCTTCCACATGATGGGGATGCTGAAACTACATGCACATAGTGACTTTTACCAGAGCGCACACCAGAGGTTTCACTGTATCCCTGTGGAGTCTCATTTAACTTGGGTAAACCAGCATAACAGTGGTAAAATAAATGGGTGGCTCTTGTGTATGAGCCCATTAGGGCTCATGTTCAGTTTATAGCCATATTCAGTACACTTGCACAAATGTCACACTTTTACTGCTCATTAAAATACTGATTGTCTTTATAGCAAACATCAGTGATGTACAGGGTTTTTCCTGGCTCAGAACTGGACATTTGGGGTGTGATTATGCAAAGAAACACAATGTGAGTTGAGGCAGAGTGTTACCTTACCTGACAGATGTCTATGTATTTTCCTGTGGGTTTTTTTTGTTTTGTTTTGTTTTTTTTGCCATTTTATAAGGAAAATATATTCATGCTTCTGTAGCTTCACCCTCAGTAAAAATGGGAAAAGTGAATATTCAGTCCTGCCTTTATATTTCAGGTAATCCCTGATATGACCTCACTGGACAGTCCTTATTATTTTGACCACAGCATCTGTTTAAGCTTGAGTGTTTTGTTTTGTTTGTTTTTTTTTGGGGGGGGGGGTTCTTTGTAACTGCAGTAAAGGGAACATGATTCTGTATTAGCAGTAGAAATTCATGTTGTGCATGGCCTGTCTGATCCTAACCGCGGTGCTTTCATTTTCTTTTCAGGAGACCTACGACAATATTCCAGGCCAGAATAAGATCACATTCTTGCTACAAGCTGTCAGAGATGCGTCTGCTGCAGAGGAGGTTTGTACGCGGATTGTGAACATATCTGTGGCATGACATGGTGAATTTTTTCAGCCTGAAGCAGGGGAACTGCAAAAACTTGGCCACTTAAGAGCCCATCTGAGACATTTATGATCTGTTGTATTGTGCTCAATGAAGTCTTGACACACCCAAACACGGACCATTTAGGCCAAAGGTCAGACAAAGTTGACGTAATCCTTTCACCTTTAAAATCTTAAGTTGTCAACAAATGTTGTGTATGAAATTTGTTTTTCACTTGTTCACATCTCCGTGGGTTTTTCGGGTGCTGTGTCACAGTTAATATGAGACATTACATGCTAAATAAATGGATGATGTGCATTTTTGCCCTATATGAATAATGTACTGAGTGGGTTTTAATACACACAATAACTTGGAAAAACATCATCCAAAGTAAGCAGGGATGCGCTCCAGCCTCTGTCAGAATCTAATAAAAGGATGGTGAAATATTAAA